AGGAATTAGCTGTAATTAGTCTAAGAATACAGCTATATAATTAGTCTAAGATAGCTGCTGTAATTAGTCTAAGAACACAGCTATTAGTCTAAGATAGCTGCTGTAATTAGTCTAAGAACACAGCTGTATATAGTCTGTAATTACAGACTATATACAGCTGTACATGGCTGACCATTTAACCTAGTTACTTGTATAAATAGATCAATGAAATATATGAAAAACAGACTTTCAGCATAATAAATAACTTGGTATCAGAGCTTTGGGGTTTTTCCTTGCTCTTCTCTTCTCTGAAAATTCCAGCCATTCCTTCAATAGCCCACACTGCTGAAATTTCTTCTCTAAAACACTAAATACATCACAATATGTCAACCAAACCTGATGTTGAATCTCCTAACAGCAAGAATCTCTCCACTCTAACCATACAAGATGCTTCTTCTTCCATCCACATTAAATTGGATGGCACTAATTATCGCGTTTGGTCCAAGATATTGGAGATGCATATTGCTGGAAGGAAAAAAATGGGCTATATTAATGGAAAAAAGGCTGCACCAGCAGTAGATGATTCAAGTTATGATGAATGGGAAGCTGAAGATTCTCTTGTCAAATCTTGGCTTATTAGTTCAATGAGTGATAATCTGATATCTCACTTTGTACAATGCGGCACAGCAAAGGAAGTTTGGGATGCTGTAAAAAGAAGTTACCTTGATGTATCAGATTCCTCTGAAGTTTATGAACTAATGAAGAAGACTTTTCATTTACAACAAGATGGTCGGCCTCTAGCAGAATATTACAACGAATTAAACTCAACATTTATGGAGCTCGACTATCGACGGCCCAATGACATGACATGTGCTGCTGATATTGAAAAATATAGAAATCGTATTGCCGAAGATCGAGTGTATATTTTTCTTGCTGGGCTTGATAATAAGTTAGATCAAGTTCGCAGCCGTGTTCTAGGTACTTCTCCTTTACCAAGGTTAGAAGAAGTCTACTCCATGGTTCGTAGAGAACTACAAAGACAAGTTGCCATGGGAGTAGAATCACACTTTGAGGCTTCAGCTCTAACTGTTCAAAAGAGCACTCCTATTGCCATTAATGGAAATTCTACAGCCTCTCAGTCTCGATTTTGCACCTACTGCAATAAGAATACACATACAATTGATACTTGTTGGAAGAAGCATGGCTATCCAGAATGGTATAAACTTAAGCAAGCTGAGAGAAAAAATAAAAAATTTGTTCATAATACTGTTGCTCAAAATGTTGCTGCCATAGACACAACTCCATCTTCTGTTTCTCATGTGTCTCGGGCATCTTCTCAAGAAGGTATTTTTGGTTTGTCCGTTATTTCTGCTCATCCTAGCACTTGGATTATTGATTCAGGGGCTACTGATCACATGACTAGTAACTCTTCTATCATTGACTCTCTTACATCTCCACCTGTGAAGTCTGTACAGGTTGCTAATGGAAATTTTACGCCAATCATAGGCGCTGGAAATGTGTCTCTTTCACCAAAGTTTTCTATGTCCTCTGTTTTACTTGCACCTAAACTCTCAAATAATCTCCTATCCATTAGTAAAATAACAAAGCATCTTAACTGTTCTGTCATTTTTCACTCTACTCATTGTGTTTTTCAGGACAATCTTACGAAGATGACGATTGGCATTGGTAAGGAGAGAGATGGTTTATATTATTGGGAAGACAATCGAGGCATACCAATATCTACTCGAGGTTTTCAAACAAAAAGTAGGACATCAGACATAGAAAGAATAATCCTTTGGCATCGTCGACTAGGACATCCATCTTTTTCTTATTTAGAGCATATGTTTCCTAAGTTATTTTCCAATATTTCAACTTCTAGCTTAAGATGTGAACAATGTGTTTATGCAAAAAACCATCGTGTTCCTTTCAAAGTTAGTTTTAATAAAAGTGTCACTCCTTTTTCATGTGTTTATACTTATGTGTGGGGTCCTTTCTCAACTACTTCTACTTCAGGACATCAATATTTTGTATCTTTTATTGATGACTGTACTAGAGTCAGTTGGGTATATTTGATGAAATCTAAGAGTGATGTTTGTCATATTATTCCTCAGTTTTATAACATGATTCTTACTCAATTCAACACTAGAATTAAGGTTTTTCATTCTGATAATGGTCGTGAATTTGTGAATAGATCTCTTGCTGATTTTATGATACAACATGGCATTCTTCATCAAACCACTTGTGTTTACACACCCCAGCAGAACGGAAAAATCGTCACTTTCTTGAAGTAGCACGAGCCTTATGTTTTACTATGCATGTTCCAAAACATTTTTGGGCTGAAGCTATTATGGCTGCTGTTTTCCTCATTAATCGAATGCCCGCTAAGGTTATTGATTTCCAAACTCCTTTGAGAATGTTATCTAAATTTCATTCTATTCCTTCTGCTCTTAATATTTGTCCAAAGGTTTTTGGTTGTGTATGTTATGTTCATGTTCATTCCCATCATAGAGATAAACTTGATCCTCGTGCTATCAAATGTGTTTTCCTTGGCTATTCTAATTCACAAAAGGGATATAAATGTTTTCATCCTCCTACAAGAACCTACTATGTGTCTATGGATGTTCAATTTTGTGAAAATGAGTCTTATTTTTCTGGACATATGTCTGCGGTTCCTCTTCAGGGGGAGATTAAAAGTAGAGAAGAGGAAAAACAATGGCTAGAAGAAAAAAGGATATGGATCTCAGGTATAGAAAATGCAAAGGAAAATGGGGAATCCTTAGTTTTAGATGATGGTCAGGAAAATAAAATTGAAACTAATAGTGAGAGACCAGCTCATCTCTTTGAGAAAGGATATTCTAGGAGAAAAAAAGATATCTCTGTTATGCCTTCTGATTCTTGTACCTCCCTTAATGATAATATCTCCCTTGATGATACTACCATGCTATCGAATGAATCTTCCAAGATTGACACTAAGGTATGTACTTCTTCTGAAAGTCTTGACCCATATCCTAATATTGATCAGAATAGAAGATATCCTCTTCGTGAACGAAAAGAACCTGATAGACTTGGTTTTTCAAAAGCTTGCAATGTTTCTTATCCAATTTCTGATTTTATATCCTATCACCGTTTGTCTAAGGCTAACTTGACATTTGCTCTTCAGTTGTCTTCTGTATATGTTCCTAGTCATTTTCAGGAAGCCCTTGATGATCCTAAGTGGAAAGATGCAATGGTAGAAGAAATGATGGCTCTCCAAAAGAATTCTACTTGGGAAATGGTTGAGTTACCAATGGGAAAGAAGACCGTAGGGTGTAAATGGGTATTCAATGTCAAATACAAGTCTGATGGGACAGTTGAAAGATACAAAGCTAGACTGGTTGCAAAAGGCTACACTCAAACCTATGGTATTGACTATCAAGAGACATTTGCACCGGTTGCCAAGATGAACACTGTTCGTGTCATATTGTCACTTGCAGTTAATTTAGACTGGCCTCTACGACAATTTGATGTGAAGAATGCCTTTCTTCATGGTGAGTTGACTGAGGAAGTTTTCATGGATCCTCCTCAGGGGTTTACACTAGAAGAAGGAAAGGTGTGCAGACTGAAAAAGGCATTGTATGGATTAAAACAATCACCAAGGGCATGGTTTGGAAGATTGACTCATGCCATAGAGGAGTATGGATTCAAGCAAGCTTCAGCAGATCATACGCTGTTCTATAAACGTAACTACAATGATATTACCGTGCTTCTTGTCTATGTTGATGATATGATTGTAACAGGTAATAACAAAGAAGAAATTGAGAACCTTCGAAGCTACTTAGCCAAAGAATTTGAGATTAAAGATTTGGGGACTCTTAAATATTTTCTTGGCATTGAAGTATCACGGTCCAAGCAAGGACTCTTCCTTTCCCAGAGGAAGTATACATTGGAACTCCTAGCTGAAATTGGTATGTCTGCTTGTGAGCCGATAGATACTCTGATTGAAGTGAATCATGGCCTAGCCTTCTTTTCTGATCAGATTCCAACAAACAAGGAAAGATATCAAAGGATCGTGGGTAGACTAATCTATTTAACTCATACCAGGCCAGATTTAGCATATGCAGTCAGTGTTGTTAGCCAGTTTATGCACAATCCAAGTGATCAACACATGAATGCTGTTAATCGAATCTTGGCTTACTTGAAATTAGCTCCAGGAAAAGGTGTCTTATTCTCCAAACACGAACATTTTGATGTGGTTGGATATACAGACTCTGATTTTGCTGGTAGCAAGTTGGATAGAAAATCAACTTCTGGATATTTGGCTTTTGTTGGAGGCAACTTGGTGTCTTGGAAAAGTAAAAAACAGAACGTGGTTTCATTATCTAGTGCAGAGGCTGAATATCGAGCTATGCATCATGCTATCACAGAACTCTCTTGGCTAAAAATTCTCTTAAAGGAGATTGGGTTTGGTCCAAAAGGTTCTATGGTATTATTTTGTGATAATATGGCAGCCATTAAGATTGCAAATAATCCTGTTCAACATGATCGGACAAAGCATGTTGAAATTGATAGGAACTACATCAAAGATAAACTTGATTCCGGGACAATTGAAATTCCCTATACTAGAAGTTCAGATCAGTTGGCTGATATTATGACTCATGCTGTTACTAGTAGCTTATTCAATGCATCTCTATCCAAGTTGGGCATTTGTGATATCTATGCCCCAACTTGAGGGGGAGAGTTGGTAGGAATTAGCTGTAATTAGTCTAAGAATACAGCTATGTAATTAGTCTAAGATAGCTGCTGTAATTAGTCTAAGAACACAGCTGTATATAGTCTGTAATTACAGACTATATACAGCTGTACATGGCTGACCATTTAACCTAGTTACTTGTATAAATAGATCAATGAAATATATGAAAAACAGACTTTCAGCATAATAAATAACTCATTATTTATTACAATTTATATCATATATCTTATATAAAAAATTATGAAATATAATATTTAAATATATTTAGTGACCCACCGGTTCAACCACTCACCCACCGGTCGAACCAGTAACCCGTTGACCCACCCCCTTCGCCGGGTTCCTTCCCGGATTGGGTTTAATAACTATGCTTTGACTAATCTTCCTCTCTCTCGGTTAAACTAAATGGAAGAAACAAGAAGGAAATGAATTTGTTTTGACTTGATCAACTTTTGCATGCCATTTGGATAAGTTTCTCTCCTCCTCTCTCGGTTGTGAATGGTCAAGCAAGAAAGGGTTGGTTTGGAAGCTTTGGTCTTGGTCAGAGTCTTGATCAAGCTTGAGGGATAATTGACAAATGACATAATTACAAATTAAGTCTATCCCTTTGTCACTAATTCATTATAATATCTCCATTAACTCCTAACACCTTGTAGCACAATAACTCTTTTGTACAAAACTCCCTCCAGTTCATGAAATTTATCGCACATACCTTGCTAGTTGGACTAATTGGTATATCACCCCAAGAAAACTAACATGGAATAAATTGAATGAGACAATAGGAATAAAATTATGATTCAACCATTAGATTAACCAAAAATTCAAGGCAAATATATTAGAATATAAAATAGATAAAAAAAATGTTCGAGAATATAAAATATAAAAATAATTTTTGGATTCTCACAATCTTCCCCCTTTAAAAGAATTTCATTCTCGAAATTCCAACCTTTGCTCGCACAAAGCTTGATACTACAGGGTTTTCCTCAACTTCCAAATAGCTTCCTACCACCCCAAATACTTCTGCTAGAGTTTACTTGAGGGAGAGTGGTATGAACATAATGGCTAAACTATACTGCCAAGGAAGGTCAAAAATGGCTTAGAATATTGACGAGAATATAAACTTGGGACTCGATGGAAAAGAACCATAACTGCAAAATTTGGTTGCTACGTTTACTAAATTTTGGAATCACACACTATGCGCTGGCAACTAGTCCACCATGTAAAGCTCTTATCATGTTTATCATTGACTCCCTATACATGTACTACCCCTTTCTAATTGAAATTCCTTCATTACGAACCACAATGAAAGAATCCTCAATTAAACCCAAGAATAGTAATGGACGACACACATAATCAGGTATAAGGATGTAACTCCAATTAAAGCCAAATATTGACTATTACTAGGGAAAAACATCAAGTCCCATGTTAATCAATTATCCCTCCAAACTTGATCAAGACTTTGACCAAGACCAAAGTTTCCAAACCAACACCTTTTTGCTTGACCATTCACAACTGAGAGAGGAGGAGAGAAACTTATCCAAATGGCATGCAAAAGTTGACCAAGTCAAAACAAATTTATTTCCTTCTTGTTTCTTCCATTTAGTTTAACCGAGAGAGGAAGATTAGTCAAAGTCTTCCTCTTGTTTTTTCTCCATTTCAGCCGAGAGAGAGAGAGGAAAAATTACACAAATCTTCCTCTTGTTTTTTCTCCATTTCAGCCGAGAGAGAGGGAGCATGACCTTTAGACCAGCCACCAATTTTGACTAAACACCTCTTGACGAAATCTTCACCCTTACTAGTCTTTCCTCTTCTTGCAAGACCGACACTTTCTTTTCTTCTTATTGGAGCCGAAAGACTAGAGGGAAAGCTGAAGGAATTTTCCTTGTTTTGCTCCCTCTTCCAACTGAAAGAAAAAATGGGAAAATCAAACTTTCTTGCTCCATTTGCAGCTGAGAACCAAGGCTGATTCAGCTAGGGGTGTGCAAAATCAAAAAAAATTCGAATTATGAATATTCGAAATATGAATTTTTGAAATCGGTAATTCAAAATTCGGCACTAAAATTGGAAATCCCAATTTCGAATTATGCAGATTTGGTTCGAATTCGGTAATGGAGTTTTTGAAATTGGAATTTCTGAATTCGAAATCGAAAATCGAAAAAGGAATTTCCGATTTCAATTTCATTTTATAATATATATATTAATATTTATTTATATATATAATAATATTTTTTATTTCAATTTTGTTTTATAATATGTATATTAATATATATTTATATATATAATAATATTTTTTATAATATATGCAATATAAAATTTATATTATATAACAATACATCTAACAAAAAAGAAAAAAAAGGGAAAAAAGGTACCGAATTCGGAATTTACCAAATTTCGAATTGAATTCGAAATCGAAATCAAAATCGGAACTGGTGAATTCGAAATCGAAATCAAAATCGATCGGTAATTCCTATGCCAAAATTCTGAAAAATTCCAAATTCGAATTCGATGCACACCCCTAGATTCAGCCATAGAAATTTTACAAAAGTTACCGATTTCTTCAAGCTTAAACTGTGAGTGAGAGAGAGACAAGAAAGCTGCGTTGGGAGGGGAAGAACACAGAGGAAACCTGGTGTATTTCAACCTTGAGGGACCAAAGGAGAGAGTGCTAATAAGCTAATTCGGATCAACATATCATCAACACAGATTGCACTAAAAGAAACATTGTTATGATCAACTAGGTTGCAAGTTTCACACTTCAAAGGCACCCAATTTTGTTTAAGCATCCTGCTTCTAAGCTGGCTTACCTGAATTGGAACAAATGTAAGCTTTTCAAACCCCAAGTATGCATGTCCTCCATAGTTATTTGGTGTGTCAAGCTCTTTCACAAAAAGTAGATTCTGCAGTATAAGAAAATTTAAGAGCACACTGCGTAAGAAAATAATATAATATGGCACAAAAGGAGAGCTACTTCCATACAATTGTCACGTGCTACAAATTCAAATAATAATATAATAAAAAAAAAGAAACATTAGGTCTTTGCAAAAGGATTAGAACAAATAACACAAAATCAAATTTGTCAATGCAGTTTGCAGCCAGCCCTAGTAAACTAAGCAGTTGTTGAGAACAGATATAACTGAACAGATGAAATGTGTTACGCCAAAACCAATAGAATCAGCTATCTACATCAGAAATGGGGTAGGTACCAAATCACAAGCATTATTATTCGATAGGTAAGATTGAGTGGGAAGAATACCTCTATAACTGAAGGGATGAAATGTCTTATCCCAAAACCAATAAAATCAGCTTTCTATGTCAAATATGGGGTAGGTACCAAATCACAAGCATTTGTTATTCAATAGGTAGTGGGAAGAATACCTCTATACGAATGCCAAATGAATGGTCCTCATAATAGCCGGGTTCATTACTAACAACCATGCCTTTCAGCAATGGAGTCATATTTCCAAATCGAAAGCTAATGCTTTGTGGCCCTTCATGGACATTCAGTGCAGCTCCTACACCGTGCCCAGTCCCTAAAGGATGATTAACAATGAACAACAAGAGAAAAGATTGGTGAGCTTAGATCACATGTAATCAATTGAAAAGGAGACTTGACTACAAAAAGGACAACTACCATGACGGTAATCAAGGCCAATTTTCCACAGAGCAGATCGAGCAAAAGCATCCAATACAAAACCGGGGGTATTCTCAGGGAACACTGCCTGATCAAGAGCTATATGACCCTGTCAAATCACATATAGTATGATGCAGAAGTTAAAACCAAAAGCAGTTCTTGTTGTATGTATAATAGGTAGCAGTAAAAGGTATATCAGTAAATACAGTAAAATCATGGGCCTGAATAGTATTATCAATCCTTAATACCAGGTTTTTACATGTTAAATACATTCTAATAACCACATGTCCAATCAGCATTCTACTTTGTTTGTCAATGACTTTCTGCAGAACCAAGATGCAATAAACAGGTCCTGGTTCCTTAAAGTACTTGAAAAAAATGTCCCTAGAATACCTCTCCAGAAAGAAGTGACTCATACTATCAGCAATTTAAAACCCTAATATGAATCTTGAAAGGTTTCAGAGACACTACAGCAGCCAAGCGGAGAAAGAAGCGCCAATCACGAGCAGGTAGTGGACATCTATTGAAGCTCAAACAACAATTCTAGGTCTTGGGTTTTCAATCCAAGGAGAATTTCAGACATGAATCATCAAATATATTAATACAAAACCTAATTCACCCAGAAAGTAGGTAATTTGAGACAACATTTGAGCTCCCCACATGCATGCGATAAGGTGTGACATAATGGTTAGTGAGACAACACCTATACAATGATATAGAAATTGAAGCTAGAGAAGTATTAGTTGAAATTTAGAAAATAACTCACTTTTCCTAGGCGAGTAAATAGAGAAGTATAAACTCAACCAGTTAATAAATTAAGCATCAAATCTTTCCATTCATAAATCTTGTGCTTTATGCCCATTAATTTTAAGAAAAAGCCAGATGAGGAGAGTCAAGAACCAGAAAGGCAAGAAAGAAAACCTGTAGAACACGAGTGAAACATTCTCTCTGTCGTGAAGATGGTTCACCAAAATGTACTGTTCGAGTAACATCAGTTGTTCCATCATGGTATTGGGCACCACTGTCCAACAAGAAGAGTTTATCTGCATGCACAATACTACAGGTGCCTGGCTCTGGTTTATAGTGTATAATGGCACCATTGGCCCCAGAACCTGAAATTGATCGGAAAGGTTTAATCAGGACAGAAATAAACACTGACCAGAGCAGCATGTACAACAGGCAAATGGATATGCTTTATAAGAACTAGTTTTCTAATTGGTATTTAAATCACTAGATGTGAGTTATTCATATCGTCAGTACTTCACAAGCACTAGTCTAATATGCTTAGAAATTTGAAAATCTTGATATGATGTAGAATTTTCTAAAAATGAACTTGAAATTTACATCTAAGTAAGTAAAATCTCAAGTTAATAGAGTTTTACCTCAAGTTTAAATGGTTCATCTCCCTACCTTTCTCAAACATAATCAACCAACGAAAAATCAAAATAAAATTTGCAAGGAATGAGAAACGTAAACTTGAATAACAAAATTGGAGGCCACCCGCAATGATTCCATAATAAGATGCACTCTCAAAAACCCATGTTAAAAAGGTCCCTTGCATTGAGAACATGCTGCAGATTTTACTTTTAGCCCAAAATGCAAACATATACAAGAATCTGTTATTTTCTCTTTGGTTCAGATGCATATTGCCAGAGCATGAGAGCACAACTTATAAAATCTGGTAATTTTTCAGATGTCTGAGATAGATGGCAACAAGGTATCTTATGCAAAAACATAAGGAAAGAAGATTCATTTTGTACTTGCAATAAGAGATCTTCCAATTCTAAGTATTTTACTGTAATCCTAACTCCTAAAGGAAAACCATGCTTCATAAGGAAAGAACTAAGAAACCATACAAAATCGTGTCCTTAAAAGAATTTGATTATAATCAGCTAGACTACAATGAAACTAGAATTGAAAATCTTAGATGCCTCAAGGATATAGAAGTTGCTGTTTACCACTGATAGTATCAAAGCTTGTATCAAGGAAACCATCTTGCATTGAACGAAACTCAAGAAGTTTGTCTGCAACTTGTACTTCAGTCAAAACCACATCTTTGAGAATTTCCTCCTCTAACCAAGACCAAAATTGTGCTAAAGCAGCACCATCCCTGCAGAGGTAGACATGCACATGTAACAAGCAAAATCTTTCAGATGTAATTAACCCCAGCTTCAACGTCAATGACAGGTTATAGTGTACCAAACACATATCATAATGATAGCTCTTGGAGTTTCACATTAGGGAGTAGAGAAATCTATGTCAACTAAAAGAACAATCTTGGATTTGTTTCCCACCATGAAGAACATGAAAAATGGTAATAATCTAGTTATAGACTGTCCAAAGATCTCAAATGGATAGAAGGGAAAATGAGAAATGGAAAGACAGCAACCATAAGAAATGAAAAGAGGAAAAAAGGAACTGGAAGCATTCAATGACATTTCCCTGGTTTGGACTTGTTCTCAATAGCTTCTTACAATGAAGCATAGGAGTATCACGGTGCTCACTTTTGGGATGAATTATAAACCAGTAATTTCTTGTTTTCTTGGTTCTCTTTTATATTTTTTTTTACTTGAAAAATTTTCTGCTTGGAAAGAAAGGAACTGGCATATCTTGAGGATGATTGACCTTGGAAAAACAAAACAACACAATTGGACACTGGTTACTTTTTGTAAACATCCCTAGGAAGGAAAATCAAAGTGGATAACTTCTATCAAAGCGTCTTATTGGTGCGAAATTACTTGGAAAAACCTTCCTTCCTATCTTTCTATAGAACCTGAAATTTTCCTGACTCTAAGAATATCTCCTAGGCAATTTATGTGCTTCACTAAACATTCCAGTAATTAGATTTCTCAATGGTCAAGGAAGATGTGGATACTTTATAGCTGATGAGGTTAATGACTCTCTCTCTCCCTCCTCCTTTTTTTTTTTTTTTGTGGACAACTACTAAGGTTCATGACCCTTTTCTAGTTAAATTCACATTAGAGAACTGCAATTCCTTGCAGGAAAGCAATTGAATTTGGGCGACATAATATTTGAGAAATAGAGATTTTAGCCACCGTATACCTTAGGTGACAATTACGCATGCCTTCTAATTCAGCATCATTTTTCACAGCCTTAGCCAGAGAGACAGGAGAACTTCTATATACTGCATATCGCCCACTGGATTCACCATTGGATCTCTCAATTTCATTTTGATATCCTCGCCCAGAAAAATATTTATCACATGCAGATCTATAAGTATTTACAATAGCAGCATTGATGGATGATGTGTCAAGCCAAAGTCCAGCTCCCCTTTCTGCCAAACTGAAAATAGGAAGATCATTCATTAACAAATTAAATTATGATTGGGGTCTAATCCACTAATACTGAGGAAAAGCCAAAAATGGTAAGACATTCCAATAAGTGGTCCAACTTGAACCTTTTGTCTTTCCATATGTGAATGTTTTTTACAAGCACAGTGCACAACAATCTGATGCACAAATTTGCTATCGGTTCCTCAGTCTTTGAGTCAGATATTTAGACATGTGTCCAAAATTCAAGTTCATATGTCTCATTCAACCAATATATTTCATATTAGTTTTTGTATACTACCGGAATTAGGTCCCTATTCGGGCAGCAGAAACTCCATTTAAGGTATCACCTAATCCAGAAACTAAATCTAGTGGATAGAAAAGTAAGGCCCTATTTGATAACTCAATTTTCAAACTTCAATTTTATCAAACGCACCCTAACTTATTTCATTAAGCACTCTATTGAGCCCATTCATGTGCTACATATTCCTTTTGATGACCGAAGCACATGCATACGTTATGGGAACACCTTAGCTGTCTTTAATACCACATTCAATGACCAAGCAAGCTTTTGGCTGAGGAAGGAGTTCAAAAAATGAGAAGCTATAAACAGAACAAGGTTAAAACTGCAAGAAATTCAGATGAACATGCAGGAAATGTCAAACAACTACAAGTTACCTTTCTATTTCAGAGAGAATAGATTCATAAGGACACAAGTCTATTCCAGCATTTTTCAGGTATTCCATCACTTCGGAAGTGACTTTAGAATTATCAGTGAATAGCTTAGCTCCATCAATCTCCACAATTAAATAGGCATACATGACTGGTGAATGTGGAATGTCCTTACCTCTCTGTTAAAGAAAAGTTAGTGCATTAAAAACAAAAAACAAAAATACCCAGATGAATACTAAGAACTAACATGGCAAAAAATTTAAGTTTTAATTTTTTCCGCATAAAAAAATGTAAAGATAGAAAAAAGTACAAGAAATACAAAAAAAAAGCACCATGATTATAGGTTCAGTTGTACAATCCATGGTACGCAAATAATTATGAACAGCTACATATTGTAATGCTGGTAAACTGCCTACCCTTGAAAGACAACTATCTAGGAAGAGGGGCAATGACAAATAGACTTTCTAATCCAATAACGATGCCTAAGTTACTTTGTGCACTGTCCTGATGAATTTGGTACACAGGCATAAAACAAAATACATTAGAATGGCATAATCTGTACCTCCAACACTCAATTTAAAAGGATGCCAAAAACAGGAAGTCCCACAATTAGCTCACAATCAAGCAACTAATTTTGGTCGTTGAAGTTCCATATATTTTTTCTCTAGATGTTGCCATCTTTCATTAAGCATTTTGTTCACACCATAGTTTTTCCAGCATAGACTAGAAATACAATACACTGTTGATCATTTGCCTGATCTTCCCTGACCATCCATTAACCAACCAATGAAAAGACTAGCAGCAGCAAGAAGTCTCTTTATACAGTTTCAAATACCTTAATAAACACACTCTTGGGTTCAAATGTGACACAGAATGATATGAAACTTAAATTTTCATGCTAATATTAAGCTCCAGGGATGGATTTGGTCATCTACATCTGCTTGAAGGATAAGCTTAAACAGAATTCAAACAGAACTACCATTAGTTAATGTAGCATTAAACAGAATTCAAACAGAAGCATTACTCTATTTAGGGTTAGGGGATGGCAACAAGCTAGGATACTGATTTGATGCCTTCTAATTTGCAATTACAAACATCAAGCAACACAAAAGTATTTCAAATATTTAGGCTAGCCAAGTGGATGAAATCTAATACCAGATTCAGCAGCCATGCCACTTCATCGAGCATAGAGATAACAATTGCAGAGGCACCAGCACCAGCCAATTCAGATCTAAGAGAAGACAGCTTTGATGACACGTCTAGACCTGCATATTTTAGATCATGCAATCTGATTGGCTTGTTGGGAGCTTTTGGTCTTGATGCTTTCCATACTTCATCCACAAGATTGCAATCATACAAGTAGACCAACTCATGTTTTCGTTTCGAAATAGCCTCTTTCAGTTCTTCTGCAGCATCAGAAGAAAACAAAAACTGATATTCACAAAAAGAGAGAAAAAAAGGCATAAGAAAGAAGCCTAAACCAGAATAACAAGGACACACAGAAGCAAACTATTGAACTCTTTCACCCACAACAGCATTTTTTCGCTCGTAATAGATAAACTACAATAAACATTTCTGACAGAATGCTTTAATACATCAGAAAACAGGCCAAAAGATAAATATACATAGTGATAATCCATGAGAGAAGGATAAGAAGTAATTCAGATACTATCAGCAAAATCTTTGCATATCCTTCGAAACCCCAAAATAAAACAGCAGCCTATAGCAGAAATGAAACAGCCATTTGAATGGAAATTTTGCAAGATAAAGTATTGTCTAACTTGTTTAGCAGCCTATAGCCCTTCTATCTTCACTACAAATTGTCCACTCAAACTGTCACATTCCATTTTGATCAAATTCATAACATACATGTTCTAAGTCAGTATCCAGTCAACACTCAACCTCACAACTCATGAATTAATTGCTTAATGCTTAATGATGACCTCGTCAAAATCAATGCATCTACAATTAAAGAAAGCCTTTGTGGCTTCAATCAAGTTGAGATCTGAAGGGAAAAAGGTTGATGCTTTCTCTTATAAATCACAATTGCAGATAAAAATTAACAGTCTACAGAAAATTACGCTCACATCCCAGTGTCACAAAGATCAAGTGTATAACTCACAGGATCAATTCCGATTCTACACCCAGGAGCCAGCACACTGTTAAGCCACTCACTGGTGGTAGGCACTCCCATATTTCCAGCCCGCATTAGAATCCAGCTAGAGCTGAGTTGCTGCTCTGCCTGATCATCAGAAAAAGAACAAGCTTATCAGACATTCGTTTTAAAAGCATAAGCAATATTAAAACAATTGACTCTAACCAATATGGCATTCAGACCTGGAGAAAGTATCGCCCATCCGTCCAAAGAGCTGCTTTGTCCTTTGTAACAACTGCAGTGCCAGCACTCCCCGTAAAACCAGATATATAGGCTCTCCTCATATAACATTCTGCAATGAACTCGCTCTAGCGGAAAAAAAAAAAGGACATTGCATTACATTTGCTTGTCAGAAACAGGTGCAAAGTGTCAGTAGTTGTGATGATTCCTTGCTTAACCCCAATAAATCCGTTTGACTGGAGCTATTTTTCAAAAACAAAAAGAAACATGCTTTTTGAATACTCCAAACACGTTCTTCAACCACCTTTCTTGTATCACATACACATTTACCCAAAAACAGCTACATCAAAATTTTCTAAAGCAGCGGAAAAAAAAAAACCATCCAAACGGATACTAAACCAAGTAGAAAGTCCACTAAAAGCAGAAAGTTAACGGCTTTTTTGGGTTTTATTGCGAAAAGATTAATAACCAATTCAATATAAAGATACTATAAGCAAAAAGTTGGAAAATTTACCTGATGGGCGTCTTGGGAAGGGATGATATAAGCGTCGATATTAATATTGGGCTTGGAGAAAAGCTCCCGGAGGTCCCCGAGCTTCTGGTCGGAATCGGAGCAGGAGTCAGAGTCATTTCCCCGCTTCTTTCGGAGCTCCGATGAGGGTTTGGCGGTTATGGAGCCGGAGGAATTACGGACGATGAAGGTGGGGTAAGTTTTCGAGTTTTGGGGAAAATTGGGGTTGATAAAGTTGAATTTGTGGGAAATGGGGAAGGAAAATGAGAAATTACGAAATTTAGGGAGGAAGCAATAGTGCGAATTGCGGAGATGAGGAGTGAGAGAATGCATGATCATGGCTGTAGAGAGAGAAAGTGCAAGCGACGACGACGATGAAGAAGCTGTGGCCAAGAAAGTTCGAGCCGTAAAGACTTAAAGTGCCGTCGTTTTCGTTTTTTCCCTTTTCCTTCAGGAATTAGAACTGGAGAGAGCTATACGATGTCGTAATTCGTAATGAACTGATCGATTAGGATAAATTTTTTGCTTCCTTATACTATACTAGTTTTTTCAGCCTCACGCATCGCTTGAGGATGCCTGGATCTATGTTAATCAATATCAAATGAAGGCAAGTAGATTAATGTAAAATGTTTATATATTAATACATGATAATTGTTAAATAAATGTGGAGAGTTTGACTTTATGTAAATTGAATATTGCTGTTATTCATTTACTCATTTGATTTGTAATTTTCTCTTGATACTATAAATAAATGATGCATTCATTTGAAATGTACAATTACATACAAATATCATAAATATGGTGACGCTGATCACTTTTAAAATTATGCACACACTATTTGTATCTAGTCAAGAATGAAATAAGTTTAAACAAGTAAAACCCTTCGTGAAACTTATTGTGAATAAACACGATGGTGATATCAATAATTTAAAAGAACAATCATCACATTTCTACGCAATAAAAAATGTCAAGAAATTAAGAATTATTCATGATGTAGTAAAACAAATGTGCTTCTAGTAATTGTAGTAAAAAATATCATATTGACAGGTGTAGTTTCTTGTAGTAATCTTTCCAATAAAACGCGTATTCCCAAACTTCTTGCACTCATTGCAACAATTTTTGGGTGTAGTACGTAGATCATCGTCATCATTTTTCTTCTTTGCATCTCTTTTTTTGTGCAGAGACCATTAATCAATGACGATGAACTTTTCCTTCTTTTCTTTTGTCAAGCATTCTTTGAAGTAGAACAAATTATAGTAATCTTGAGACATGCAACATGTAGTATATTTTACCTTATAACCTTAATAGCTAATTGGACCTTAACTACCATTTGAATCCCGTGAGATGCCTGGATTTCCGCTTGAATTTGCTACGAAATATCTAAGTATTTGATTGGACTTGTTGCCAATTTCTGATACATTTGTGGGAATGCATTAGTAGGAGAATTACTTAGGAAGTACTAAACAATAGCTAGGAACAACCTCGAGAAATATATCATACTCAGATTCACTGCAATGTATTATCTCTATTTTCGCAAATGCAAAGCAATAGTATCCCTGCATCTACAGCCAAGCCATTGATCAACAATTGGACGTGTTTTTCAAAGGGCAATGGTTTACAAATATTTGGTGCAATATATAAATCACTAATCAACAATTACAAAGATGTCAATGAAAGCTTTTGTTTTGGAATTGCATATGCAATACTTCTCTAACCTTTATAAGTCAACAAATTAACAGATACAGACCCAGTTAAGGGGCGCTGTTAATGCCATAGTCCATTTTTCAATTTCACAGCCATTTTTATACAAAATGTCAAAATTACCCTTCTCAATTCCAAATGAAATTTGGACTTAGATTGGGTAGTTTTGTAATTGTACATAAACTGGTCGTGGAAACAAAATAGAAGCTGTGGCATTATCATTTGTTCCAGTGACCTACTGTATTTGTTATAATAATAGAGATAATCTAGCAAAGAGCAAATTACAAACAGTCAAATTTTGGTTCAATTTAAGCATGTACATGGATGCCAAATCTATATGAATTTTAACGCAAATCTATATACCATTTTAGTTTTACGTTTTAGTTGAAGTCGTTTTGGGTTGTTTAGTAACGAAGTGCCATATTAGCAGTTAGTTAGTTAGCAGTAATCAAGAGGTTAGCAAAGAATTTGCCAGTTAATTATATTGAGTAGAGAAATTTCATTATGTTTAAAGCCTTGAGAATGATTTTTAAAAAAAAATTTTCCCAATAGAAAATGGATGTGACTTAAGTAGTGAAGAGGAAGCAGATTATGAGTGCAAAGTTCCCTTGTGCTGCCAAACATATAAAAGTTGGGAAACACGCGAGCGAAGGAACACGCGGACAGGTACTACAAATGCGGAGGAGATGGATGTAAGATGGGTATATAACAAACAAAACCGATGAGGTTGGCACTTCCAACTCTGCCGATCACAGCAAAATCGCAGAGCTAGTGTTGCACAGGCTAAGAAACGAACGAGATTGGTGGAGGGAATTAAATATAAGATAGGTATATATCTTTACTACAAAATCAGATTGCCCTCGGCGGAGGAGATGGATAGAAGATGGGTATATGACAAACAAAACTGATGAGGTTGGCACTTCAAACTCTGCCGATCACAGGAAAATCGGAGAGCTAGTTTTGCACAGGCGAAGAAACGAACGAGACACAGTAATGCTCATTGAGAAGAAAGATGTTCCAAATCATGCTGCCTAGAAGCGGCCGAACAAAAGGAGTAAGCAGGAGGGGTTGGACCAAAAGGTGAATGAGGCTTTTCGCTCCTTTCCTTCTTTAGTCGGAAGTTGGTACCAGGCCGGGAAAACAGTTCCAGGCCTTAAGAGCTTAAGAGGAGATCGAATTCTCCCCGGAACTGGAAGATCATTACCAGCGGATATGCTTTTTTTTTCCCCACAGGTAGCCAAGGATTTCGAGTCCCGATACCCTTCGAAAGTACCTCTTGATACCAATCCGGGGTCTATCTCTCTTAAACCAACCAACTCTCTAGGGAAAAAATCGTCTGGCTTAAGGGCATGAGTTTACCATTACTTCGGATACCTCTTCTCATAGCACCAAAGCTCTAAATTCCTGTCTCAGAGGCCGCTATAGAGCTCTAGGAAAGCTCTTTAGCATAGGCCTCGACTGTTTTAACAGCCACCGCGCCATCCACAAGAAAGTCTGGCCACGCAGACAGCATCGAAGTTCCAAAGCCATGCAGACAGCAGCAAAGCCACGCGGACAGCATCGAAGTTCCAAAGACATGCAGACAGCTGATACAACAAACTCACCACCCACGACAAAGCCACGCGGATAGCAGGAAATTTCGAGCAATTCCAGCAAAGCCATCACCACCGAATGACAAAAGACCAAACCGCCCCTCAATCTCACACAAATCACGCTATAACCGGCCCATTTTCACTGTAGCTAAGCCAACTGACGCTTTTAGTATAGTAAAGATAAGAACGACTTTGGGATTAGATTTCAACCGCAGGAGTGAGGCTATTTTGGGAATGTGAGAGTGTTTGAAAAATAATTGGAACATTGAGTACAAGTCATTATAGCTTTAATTTCACTATAATTACTTATATAACCTTTCAGACATTTAAGGTTAGGGGCAAGTTTGGTATGTTACAATGTTTGGTGTCAAGTTGAGTATCAAGTACAATTGAATAAAGCTTGTATTTTGATAGAACGAGTTTAGGACTAGATTTCAACCGCAGGGGTGAGACTATTTTGGGAATATGAGAGTGTTTAAAAAGTAATTGGAATATTGAGTACAAGTCATTATAGCTTTAATTTCACTATAATTACTTATATAACCTTTCAAACATTTAAGGTTAGGGGCAGGTTTGGTATGTTACAATGTTTGGTGTCAAGTTGAGTATCAAGTACAATTGAATAAAGCTTGTATTTTGATAGAATTACATAAAAGTCCTTTTAATCATTTATTATACTAACATCCAAGCCTTCCAATTTCCTAAAACCTTTCTCATCCATTAAGGAATTAATTGGATGTTTACATAACTGGATTTTAATTACAATTAATTAACTTAATTATTATCTGAACAATCATTATCATATTTATGTCTCCATGTTTAGTCGATACCCTTTCTTCTTTTTCGGTTTCACCTCTTTAATTTTATTATGACTATTAAATATTTGGTGGAATATATAGTTTTTCCTTTAAATTGAGGTGAGTTTTTTAAGTTTGTCTTCTTCGATTGTAGTTTTTTTTTTCTGATGATTGGTTTATTCAAGAATTCCATATAGTTTGCCTTTTGATACTTCTAATTCCAAAAATTGACTAATTGTATTGTTTTTCTTAGTAAATTTCAGAGATCCTGTCTCTGGTTAAAGTACAATTTGAGATAATGTTGTTACTTTCTAAATAATCAGAAAAGTAATTTTATCGTTTGTTGACCTTGGTCGATCAATCCTTGATTTTGATGATTAACAAACCAAAATGTAGATTTGAGTTAATGTTTTTATGTGAGCAATTTGTTAGAACAGATTCTTGTGGCACAAAAGAAGAAGCAAAAACAGGGCACTCATGTCGGACGTCCGAAAGGAAGCTATCGGACGTCCGAAAGGATGAAAAACATCAAGAAGGAAACTCTGTCGGACGCTCGTGAGGAAGCATCGGACGTCCGGAAGGATCGGACGCACGCCTCGGACGCACATCGGTCGCATCGGACGTCCGAGAAATTTCGCAAAGATTTGATGACTCTCTGACGACGTTCGGACGCAGGGTTCGGACGTCCGACAGGCCAACGGCTAGTTTTGACAGCATTTAATATTTGACCGTTGGAGAGCCTTTTGGAGCCATTTCTCACCTTCTATAAAAACCCCAAAGCACAAGAAGACTAGGAACTTTTGCCAACACAAAATACAAGCTTACAAGTAAAATTTTTGAGTAGAAAGATTCTTTGTTGGTTGTATAAGGGGTTGGGAAAGTTGGGTTGTGAGGTTGCTCAAGTGAAGGTTACTCTCTAGGAGGAGAAAAACCTTGGTGAAGGTGAACCTATCACTTGAAGTGGTAAAACCTTGGTGAAGGTTGCCTCATTTGTATAAAATAGTTCTTAATTGGGTGAGTGATCTTTCAAGTGTAGGTTGTTGAGGGTTAACTAGAATAGTTGTAAAACTCCTTGGCTCAACCAAAGTGTGTTTGGGGTGAGGAAGGAGTGAGCCTTCACTTGTACATCTTGGTTAGCATCGCCATCTATTGAAGAAGCTATTGGATTGATATTTGGTTTGCATTTCTTATCTTTTCTCTTTAATTAAGTTTTCTTTATTGTGCTTAAATTTGATATATCTTTGTGCATCATTGTGAAATTGTTTGTACTCATTGGGTTGCACCAGGCCTTACATCGTCTTTTCCTCCTCAACCAAGATATTATC